TGTTCTCCAGGGAGAAGACTCATTAAAGAGACCCAAGGGATGGGGCAGGGGTGGGGGGAAAGGATACTTCCTATTCCTGGCATAAACTTTGTAGCCAAACAGACCTAAATTTGAATCACTGTTCCATGTTTGGGCAGGATAACTAACGTCCCTAAGCCTCAATTTTACCATCTGAAAAATATAGATAATTAGTACCTACTTCACAGGTTTGTAATACTTGGCACTTGGCATTTGCTTTGTAAAATACTTGGCACGTTATAAGTTTCTTTTTCTCCTGCAAGGCTTTGGGGTATCACCCATTCCAGTTTCATCTCTCCCTGGTAGATAGCTTTCTCTCTGGCTGCCAATGTCCAACTGCTTATTTGTCTGTGAAAAAAGAAAAGCTAAGCTTGATGGCTTTTGAAGTGTTGAATGAAAGTGAAAGTCGCTCAGTCGTATCCGACTCTTTGTGACACCATGAACATACAGTCCATGGAACTCTCCAGGCCAGAATACGGGAGTGGGTAGCCTATCCCCTCTGCAACGGAACTTCTCGATCCAGGAATCGAACTGGGGTCTCCTACACTGCAGGCAGATTCTTTACCAACTGAGCTATTGAACGGAGGACCCAACACTGACAGAGGATGATGTCCATCCCTTCGGTCCTGATTCTCTCCTCCAACAAACATCAATCAAAATGCTCACAGGAGGAAGGCTGATGGGACCTGAAACACATCTTTATGCCGGCCAGAAAGCTGTTGGGTGAACCTACCACAATGCTTATCAATACCTCCACTGTCCATTTCCTCCAAGAAAGATAGTTTTCTTATCATTCAAGCTCTGATACGATATTCATTACTTACAAAAACCCCACCACTCCTAAAAACGCTGCGCGTTTCATCTTCCCCTCTTCCCCACCAGGTACCCTACCCTCCAGCCAATCAGAACTAGAGAAGATGACTTTTCCAGAAGTCTAAATGCTGGAAGCCAAACAACAAAACTATGCTAAAATGTTCTTAAATATCACTTTTAGATCATCACGTGGTACAGTGTGCAACAGAAGTACTGTGACCGGCTGGCGGCCTGACAGTGGCAAAGACTGAGCACCAGGAACCGAGTAATGCCCACTACGAGGGGTGAGCTCTCCAACCAGGGAAAAAGTGTAGGTTATGTTTTTTTTAGCAGGCATCATCTATTGTAAAGTTAAATCCAGTCACGTCTATTATCTACCAAAACTTATTTAGATCATCGTTCTCGTGTAGATTTAAGGTATTCAGAACTCCAGAAATGGTCTTGTCTTGCTGCATCTCACTGTTCGCTGACCCCAGGATGGGCAAGGCACGAGCGGGGAAGCTGGACGAAGATGTGAGGCACTATAGGGACCACAGACAGTCTTTATTTGCAGTAGCAGTACGGACATGCTTTATTTTCTAATGGCTGACACAGCAGCAGCAGCAACTACCCAACTCAACTAGACTCACCTCAACTGCAGGAGCTTTTCAGGTGGCGCTTATATAGACCACACCACGACGCGTGTGCGCAGCGCCACGAATGATCCCAGCTGTAGGGTGTGAGTGGAGCCTGACCACCGCCACCTGGCCAATTGCTCCCTCCCTGCAGCATTTCACTGGTCAGAACAGATACAGGTAGTGGACATTCTGGTACACAATCTTCCACTCTATTTGCCTTTTCCTGAACACACTCACCAGCCCTGCTCAGAACTTATTATTTTTTCCCTAACTAATCAACTCCAAAGGCTCTTCTTAAATGTCAGCTTCCCCATGAAGTCTTCCCTGATCCTACCGGATAACTTTTTTACTGCTTAAAACTGAGAGATCTTGTATGTATAACTCTTACTGTGTTTATCCTTTTCCTTACTTGTCTAGTGATGAAATTAATAATGAACAAATTAATTATGAACAAACATGGCCCATAAACTTGCAATACTCTAGGAACTCACATATTTTGCAACAAATGATCCTCAAAGCTCAGAACTCAAGGCATGATTTACAATAAGAAATACAAACATAGAGCAAAAAGATTTAAAATTGTATGCGGTTCTATTCAAATTCTAATTTGAATTTAAAAATTCTAATTTGAACTATCATTAGTAAGACTTCTTTTTAAAGTGATAAAATGTATTCAAATGGCCTTATAAGAGAGAACACTAAAATTTCTTAACTTTGTACATTTGTAACTTTCTTAGATTTGTAACTTTCTCTTACATCCTCATTTAGTCAGTTACCACATCCTGACAACTTTTGCTGAAAAAGTTTCCCTAACTCCTGAGACTTCACTATCAAATGTCTAGGATCCTGTGATAATTTTCTAATTGTGACTCTGGTTATCTTCAAGCTTTTTTTTCCCCCCTAAAAGAATCATTTGTACCCCTGCCTTACTCAAAATCCTCCAAGAGTCTCATTTCCTGTAGACTAGAGTTAAAACACTCCCATTTCACAATGTGACAATATCAGTATATGGTCCCAATCTGCTCCTCTAGGCATGATGTTCTCTTTGTTTTCCAGCCCACACCATGTTACTGTGCATGTTCACTCTTGCATTTCAGAACCACTCTCCATGGTACGCTACGGAGATACTTTGGGCCCCCCATCCAAACCTCTGTAAGGCAAACAACATTTATTGAGCATCTACTGTGCTCCAAGCACAAACATATTGCCTCAAGCTCTAGCCATCTTTTCAAGCTCTTTCCATCTGCAAAGGAGATTTCCTCCCTAATAATATCTCTCCACTTAGCATGCAGGAGGAGAGAGATACTTGGTTACTCCACCATTTTAAATCACACTGATGTCACTGTGATAAGTCAAATCAGCACCAGAGATTAAGGCTAAGGATGAAGAATAAGAGTTCATTCATTCATTCATGCATACCTCACATTATCTGAGCTATTTACCTTATGCCAAACACAGTTCTGGGTGTGACAGGCAAGAAGCCTACTCTTGTGAAATATGACTGTGCGTGTGCTTTGAAGAATGTTAATACAGGTCCAACATGCTAGTGAATAATCATACAGGCAGGAGAAGGGGACAACAGAGGCTGAGATGGCTGGAAGGCATCACCAACTAGATGGACATGAATTTGAGTAAGCTCCGGGAGTCGGTGATGGACAGGGAAGCCTGGCGTGCTGCAGTCCATGGGGTCGCAGAGTCAGATACAATTGAGCGACTGAACTGAACTTAATCATAAGAGAGCTACATCAGAGAGGAAGACTGGAAGGGCCTCTCAGATTTAACTGATAAGAACTCAGACATGATAAGAACTCAGACATGTGATAAAAGCTTTCTTGTTAGTCTCTACGTTTTACTTGAGTTTTCAAGACTGTCATAATCACATTTTGAATATACACGTCTTATGAAAACTTCCTAAAAAACAATAGTCCCCAATATGAAAAAGTAAGGCATAAATAGTGTACTCACTAAATGAAGAAGTGAAAGTTGCTCAGTCGTGTCCAACTCTATTCGACCCCTTGGACTATACGGTCCATGGAATTCTCTAGGCCAGAATACTGGAGTAGGTAGCCTTTCCCTTCTCCAGGGGATCTCCCCAACCCAGGGACTGAACCTAGGTCTCCCACATTGCAAGTGGATTCCTTACCAGCTGAGCCACAAGGGAAGCCCAGTGAGTACTTACTAAGGGTTAATCAAAACGCTGCCTTTACAAAAAAAAAAAAAAATTACTGACAGTCAGTTTTACCTGAGACCCAGTCGAGCTCTAAAAGAACACTCCCGTCTATGGTCTCTCCTTCCCTGAGTTGAGAGCTCTCTCAGCTCTCCTGGGAACTCCGTAAGAGTCATCAACCTAAAAGAACACTTTAGGAGTGAAACTGAAGTCGCTTAGTCCTGTCCAACTCTTTGCAACCCCATGGACTGTAACCTATCAGGCTCCTCCGAATGGGGTTTTCCAGGCAAGAATACTGGAGTGGGTTGCCATTCCCTTCTCCAGGAGATCTTCCCGACCCAGGGATCGAACCCAGGTCTCCTGCATTGCAGACTGATGCTTCACCATCTGAGCCACCAGGGTATACAGAGACCAGTTCTACTTTCTGGCTCAGAAAACTACCCAGAAAGCAAACGCTCAACTTTCTTATAGAGATTGATGACTGAAATCAGTTTCACCAAAAGGAGACGAAGAAATCCTTCAGTCCGATGTAAAATGCTCAAACTGGGGGGCCATCAAGACAGGAGCCCAGAAAATCCAGGTCATGGGACAAGGAGATCCATTCCAGACACGTTCAGACTCTTAGTTGGCTGAAACACACTGGGCGTCCCTGAACCAATGTCCTCGTATGCAAACAAGCCTAACAACCAACCCTGCCTCTCAAGGTAAGTGAAGCTCTAACGAGAGAGCCGTAATGAGCTTTAAAAGGCGCACGAACTGGGACTGTCTCAAGGTGTGTGTGTGTGTGTGTGTGTGTGTGTGTGTGTGTGTGTGTGTGTGTGTGTGTGTGTGTGTGTGTGTGTGTGTGTGTGTGTGTGTGTGTGTGTGTGTGTGTGTACTGGGACTGTCTCAAGTTGTGTGTGTGTGTGTGTGTGTGTACTGGGACTGTCTCAAGTCGTGTGTGTGTGTGTGTGTGTGTGTGTGTGTACTGGGACTGTCTCAAGTCGTGTGTGTGTGTGTGTGTGTGTGTGTACTGGGACTGTCTCAAGTCGTGTGTGTGTGTGTGTGTGTGTGTGTGTGTGTGTGTGTGTGTTTTGCTCGGTCGTGTCCGACTCTTTGCAACCCCATAGACTGCAGCCCACCAGGCCCCTCTGTCCATGGGATTCTCCAGGCAAGAACACCGGAATGGGTTGCCATTTCCTTCTCCAAAAGGAACTACAGAAAGAAAGTGAAGTCGCTCAGTCGTGTCCGACCCTTTGCGACCCCATAGACTGTAGCCCACCAGGGTCCTCCATCCATGGAATTTCCAAGGCAAGAGTACTGGAGTGGGTTGCCAGTTCCTTCTCCCCTCAAGTCACTTAAAACTACTTTAAAAGGAGCGCAAGCGGGAGCCACGCGAACCTTACCTTGACCAGCCACACTCCGGTGTTCTGCTTGGCGCCAGTCAGGTCGAGTTCTCCGCGCTCGGCCATGGGTCTGTCGCCGGCGGAGACCTGCTCTAGGAGACAGACCTAGAGCAGCGGCCCTGGGAGCTGGGACTGCGAGACGAGGGACCGAAGCACACGGCGAACACTAGCAGGAGGGTGACTGTGAAGAGCCCGCGGTCCAACTTCCGGGATGCCGGGAGCCCTGGGAAAGACGAACACACGCCGCCAGGCGCGGGGAACTGCGCCTGCGCGCTGGGGCCGTCAGTACGGCGCGCTACTGAGGACAAACTTCATAGGCGCGCAACTTCTTGAGTGGGCGTGGCTACTTCCAGGGGCTGTGTCTGAGTAATTAAAACAGAGGCTGGGATGGGCGCAAACATCAGCAGTACACGTAAAGACCAGGTCTGGGTAACAGAAGAAAGTGTCAAAACAGAAAAACGGGCTTTAAAGAGACAAAGGCTGTCAGTGTATGTCCAAACCTGGCCAAGGAGAGAAAGACAGCATTTGGAGGACGAGGTAGGAGAAATAAATAAAATGAATTAGCAGAGAGGTCTTTATTGAAAGGCTACCCCGAGCACCTTCAATTAAATGAGTAGGGCGCACCCCTTTAAGACTCCAAAACCCAGAGCCCTTTGTTTTTGTTTGTTTGCTATTGTTTTTAGTCTATTTTTAATTGGAGTATAAGCGCTTTACAATGTTGTGTTAGCTTCTGCTCTAAGACAACGTGAATCAGCTGCAAGTATACATATGTCCCCTTCCTCTTGAGCCCCCCTCCAACCCCACCTCTATCCCACCCCTCTAGGTTGTCAGAAAACCCCGACCTGAGCTCCCGTACTCTACGGCAACTCCCCGCGAGCTGTTAATAGCTGTTTTACACATGGTGGAGCATATATGTCAACGCTACCCTCTCGATCTGTCCCACCCTCTCCTTTCCCGGCTGTGTCCACAAGTTTGGAGCCATTTCATGAGGTCAATGACAATAGACATGTAACAGAAAAATCTGATTGTTCAACTCCCCTGCTTAAAGAGTCTCCCCTCTCTCTTCTGGCCTCTAGAGTAAAATTCAGTCCTCTCTACACAGGTCCTCACAGTTTGACCTCATCAAACTGTGGTGCGCTCAATGCACCACACATCTAACCCCACCTAACCCATCAGACCTCCGGGAACATATCAGAATGTTCCTCAATTATTTCAGAGCCTCTGCACGCTGAATTCCTTTTACTCAGATGCCCTGTTCTTCCCCTACTGCCTTCTGATTGGCAGACTCTTACTTAGGTTTCAAGATTAATGGAAATGTCTCTTCCTATGAGACCTATCAACTCCTCCAGAGGAAGATCGTTTTTTCTTCCCGTCACAGTGTGCGATACTTAGCACGATGAGCTACAATATACTTGTTTACATATTGCCTTTGCTTTCTAGACTATGAGCTCTTCCTAGGCAGAAATGGTGGGTTTTCTTGTTGTTTAATCAAAGCATCTGGCACAAAGCTGACACCATGTCAGATTTCAATAGGCTTTGGCTGAGTGAACATTTGCATGAAAAGAAACAAACAGTAAGATATTGTAAGAATGGCAAGTGACATATTGAATCCTGCGTCAGAACCATACACAGAATTGAAGAAATTCCATGTCTATTCAGCCTAGGGCTAGAAAAAGCTGTCAGGGCTCTGAGATCAGCTGGGAAAACCCAACAGGAAAAATAGGAGATCAGGCACGTGTTAAAGAGGAAGATCACAGTCTTATGTCACAGCTCAGAAAATGGCCTTAAAATATAAAAAGGACAGGTGGGTAAAGAGAGCTGCTTTAGGCTTTCATCAAACAGAAGGAATAAATTGGACTTCCCTGGTGGTGCAGTGGCTATGAAATGAATCTGCCTGCCCTCGCAAGGGGACGTGGGTTGGTTCCCTGGTCTGGGAAGATTCCGCATGCCGCGGGACTGCTCAGCTTGTATGCCTAAGTGTGGAGCCTGTGCTGCAGAGTCCCAGGAGCCGCAGCTGCCGAGCCTGCAAGCTGCAGTTCCTGCAGCCCCTGTGCCTGGAGCCTGGGCTCTGCAGAAAGAGAAGCTGCTGCGGTGAGAAGCCCGGGAACCTCAACAAAAGCAGCCCTGGCTCACTGCGCCTGGAGAAAGCCCACACGCAGCGACGATGACCCAGCCCGACCGAAAATAAATAAATACATAAATAATTAATTTGTAAAAAGAGTTTGACTCCTTTAAAAAAAAAGAAGGAATAAATTGAAATATAAGACCATAAGAGCAGAGAATTAGCATAGCCTAGATCACCCTAGTAATGAACCTCAGAGCAAAGGATTAGGACATTTGCCTTGATCTGTGGCTTATGGGAAGTCTTGAAATGTGTGTGCTTACAGGGATTGGGAAGAACGATCATCCTCAGATGTTGTTGAACAGACTTCTCCTATTTGTCCTTTTCAAATTTCCTTCCAGCTTTAAGAGAATGCTAATGGGCCACGAGAGGAAAAGAGGATGTGGGCTCCGTGAAACGAACTCACAGATTGACTCTGGAGACCAACATGGGAACAGATCCTGCAGCCAGACTTGATCCTGCAGCCAGACTTGATCCAGCTTTATGTTTCTCTGCCATGATCCTATACCCTTAATACAGGAGTCTCACACAGGTTCCTGGGATTGCCAGGCTCATGCTCAGCCGCTCAGTCATATCTGACTCTTAGCAACCCTTTGGACTCTAGCTGCAAGGCTCCTCTGTCCATGGGATTTTTCAGGCAAGAATACCGGGTTGCCATTTCCTACTCCAGGGGATCTTCCTGACCCAGGGATTGAACCTGTGTGTCCCGCCTCTTCTGCACTGCAGACGGATTCTTTACTGCTGAGCCACCAGGGAAGTCCCTCCCTGGATTTCTGCTTGCAGTCAGTTAGGTATATCCAGTGCAGATATGTTAGGCATCTCTATTGCCATTCATTAGAGACACGGATTCTATCCCTGGGTCAAGAAGATCTTCTAGAGGAGGGCATGGCAACCCACTCCAGTGTTCGTGCCTGGAGAACCCCATGGATAGAAGAGCCTGGCAGGCTACAGTCCATAGCGTCACAAACAGTCAGCTATGACTGAAGTGACTTAGCACAGAGCACACATTGCCAATCATGCCAGGGATCATTAGTATTCTCTTTACTACTGGAAATAGTCATTAGCGTCTTTAAATCTAATGAGATTAGACAGCCAATTCCAGAAACCCAGAACCAATTCAGAAAACCCATCCTCAATATTCTGGTTCTCTAGGATCACTCTCAGCACCAATATCTGTATTAGTCAGGGTTCTCCAGAGAAGTACGCAGCTAGCTAGCTAGCTAACTAGCTAGATGATAGGCATTTACTGTATAGTAATTAACTCACATGATTATGGAGGGTGAAAGTGAAAGTCCCTCAGTCCTGTCTGACTCTTTGTGACCCCATGGACTATATAGTCCATGGGATTCTCCAGGCCAGAAAACTGGAGTGGGTAGCCTTTCCCTTCTCCAGGAGATCTTCCCAACCCAGGGATCGAACCAGGGCCTCCTGCACTGTAGGCGGGTTCTTTACCAACTGAGCCATCACGGAAGCCCCATGGGGGCTGAGAAATCCCCAAATGTGCGGTTGACAAGCTGAAGTCATAAGGCCTGAGAGGCAGGAGAGATGATGATGCAACTTCCAGGCCAAATCTGAGGGCAGGAGATGATAAATGTCCCAGCGTGAAGACAGGCCGAGAGAGTGCCTTCTGTCTTCAAGAACGTTTTCATCTAGTCTGGCCTTCAACTGATTGGGTGAGGCTCACCTAGATGGAGGAGGACAATCTACTTTACTTAGTCTGTTGATTCAAATGTTAATTCATTCAGACTTCAAAGGGCACACCCAGAATAATGCTGGACCAAATATTTGGGCAACCTGAGGCCCAGTCACGTTGACACATAAAATTAATCATCAGAGACACATACAGAGCTCAGCACCGAAAAAGAAACAGCAAAGTTCTGATACAGAATCGTCCTGGTGACTCAGCAGTGAAGACATTGCTTCTGCAGCAGCGAGGTGCACTCCCTGGCTGGGAAACTAAGATCCCACATGCTATGCAGAGTGGCCAAAAAAAAAAAAAACCACTTTACTTTCCCAGATGACTAACTAGTCAAGTTTTATTTAATCACTGTAGGCACAAATGCAAGTCAAGGAGGGAAGGCTCTAGAACTCACTGTTGGCTGAAAATTTTTCAAGAAGACAATAGGGAATCCTCCATGTTTTGTAAATTTAGAACACCACAATTCTGTTAGGTAGCCTTTAGAAGATAAGCAGTAGTCAGAGGGGATGTTACAAGTGAGTTGAGGGAATGGCAACCCACTCCAGTATTCTTGCCTGGACAATCCCATGGACGGAGGAGCCTGGCAGGCCACAGTCTATGGGGTCACAAAAAGTCGGACATGACTGCGTGACTTCACTTAATGGAAGCTGAGTTAATTCTCAGATTCTTGTCCTTGGCTGTCCCATATGGGCCCAATGTCCCTCTAGGGCAGAAATTCTCTTTGTTGGTAGTTACTCAGAAACATTCTACCAAGAGGAAATATTACCTCCAGGGGCATTCACATGGGCAAAAACAGCACCATCACTGGGACTTCCTTGATGGTCTAGAGGTTAAGACTCTGTGCTTCTAATGCAGGGGGGCGCAGTTTCAATCCCTGTTTGGAAAACTAAGATCCCACATGCTGTAGGGCACGGCCAAAACAAACAAACAAAAAACACTATCACAAAATCCTTCTTTTTTAATTTTTTCTTTCAGTTTTATTAAGATATAATTGACATACAACACTGTGTAAGTTTCAGGTGCCCGACATAATGATTTGACTTACATGCATCCTGAAATGATTATCACAATAAGTTTAGTGAATATCCATCATCTCAAATACATACAAAATACAAAATTAAAGAAACAGAGAAAAACATTTTTCCTTCTGATGAGCACTCTTAGGATTTACTCTCCTAACTGTATTCACATATAACATATAGCAGTGATAATTATATTTATCATGTTGTATATTACATCCCGATT